TGATGAGGGATATTTGATTGTTTTTAGGCTTTTGCAGACAGCACTACAGTGAATAGCCTTGTGCATATCTGTTTTGTTTTGCCAATGTCATCTAAGATTAGAATTTGAAGATATTATTAGGTTAAGGGTAACTGTAGATGTGTTTTTTTCCCCCTTGATATTGCCAAATTCCCTTTCATAGGGGTTTTGCCATTTTGTATTTGTACTCATATTGTATACAGTGTCTATGTCTTCATAGCCTTAAACTTTTAGATTTTTGTCATCTGATAGATATAAGATAGTTTTAATTTGCATATTTTTTATTATCAGTATGGTTCAGGATCTTTCCATTTGTTTAATCTGTTATGTCCCATTATCCTATATTGAATTAAAAATTTAGGTCTTTTTTTTTAAATTAAAAACTTTTTTTTTAAAATTGTAGATAAACACAGTACCTTTATTTTATTTATTTTTATGTGTACTAAGGATTCAACCCAGTGCCTCAACACATACTAGGCAAGCGCTCTACCATTAAGCCACAACTCCAGCCCCCAAAACTTAGATTTTAATGGGATAAGATCCATTTACATTTCTCTTTCTGAGGACATTTCATATTTCTTATTTATTTTTCTATAGCTGTTGATCAGTACCTTTTCTACTTTAAGACTCTATTAGGAATGTTAATCTTTATTCTTTCCTAGTTTATAATTTTTATTTTAACTTTTTTTCTTATACTAGTATAAGTTTTTTATTATTACATGGTCAGATTTATAAAAAAATTTTTTTTATTCTGAAATTTGTAGCCTTTTTGTTTTGTGGTACTGGGAATTGAATCCAGGCTTTTACATGCTAAACAAGCTATATTTCTAGCTCAATGTAGCCTATATTAAAAGACTTACATTATGTAGGAAGAAATGGGGAACACATTGGGGAGGTAAGGGCAGAGATAGGCCAGTTTGAAAGTGAATGTAATAGTTCAGGTTTGGTAGCTATAGAAGTGGCTCTATCTTTTGGAGAATTTGCTGATGGGTAGGATGTAGGTTATGAGAAAAAAGCAGAACAACTTCCATGTTTTTGGCCTAACAGGATTGAATTATCTATAACTGAGAAAGGGGAGATTGGAGGAGGGGTAGGGTTGAAGAAGATTGAGAGTTTGGTTATGGACATGCAAAGTTTGAGATTCCTAGTGGACACTCAAGTGAGGTATCAAGTAGAAAGTTGCGTATGTGAGTGTGTAATTTTAGGGAATGTTTAGGGCTAGAAATAATCATGTGAGAGTCACCAGCATGTAAAGAATGTTTACTTAGGTTTTTATTTATTTCCTCTTTTAAGGTATGCTTTACATATTGTGAAGTGTACAGATATTAAATATACATTTCAGTGACTTAACAAACATGTACTCCTGTGTGACTAACATCCTAGTCAAGTATAGAGCAATTCTGTTGTCTCACAAGTTCCCTGGTGCCCTTTATAATCTCTATTCCCCAGAGGCAACCATTGTTCTAATTTACACTGCCACAATTTAGTTTCCCTTTTGTATATGGTATTTAAAAACACAAGGTTGAAGAAGATCACCTTGGTTGTGGGACTTAGAGAGAAGAGATCAGGCATGGAGCCCTGGGGAATGCCAGTGATCCAGGGGGCCCAGAAAGGAATCAGCACCAGGACTGGGAGGAGTAGCCTGAGAGAGCCAGTTTGGAGTCCTGGGAAGCAAGTGAAAAAAGGGTTTAAAAAGGAGGGAGTGGGGAACAGTGTCAAATGCTGCCAAGAGGTCTTGTGAGGTGGAGAGTAAAAATTGATAGATTTAGCAACAAGGGGATCATTGGTGACCCTTCTGAAAGCTGTTGTTGAGTGGTATGGCCTGATACCTGATAGGAGTGGATTGAGTAAATGGCCTGAGAAAGATTGGATAGCAGGAATATAGACCACCACTATGAGAAAAAAATTTAAAAAAAAATTTTTTTATAGTTGTAAATGGACAACATGCCTTTGTTTTATTTGTTCATTTTTATGTGATGCTAAGGATTGATCCCAGTGCCTCACGCATGCTAGGCAAGTGCTCTGCCGTCAAGCTACAGCCCTAGCCCAAAATAGGGTATTAATTGAAATTGGGGGAGTTGGGGATAGAGGAGGGGTTTTTTTGTGTTTGTGGCCTGGCTCATGCTAGGCAAGTGCTTTACCCCTGAACTGTACACCAGCCAGGGTTTTGTTTTTTAATGAGCAGCAGTGCTTCTAGTATTTTTGTGTCTTCATGTGACTAAACCAGTGAGAGGGAAAATTGACAATGGAAGAAAGATAGAAGAGAATTGCTGGAGCGATGTCTTTGTGTAGGCAAGTGTTCAGGGGAGGAGCTGGCTTGAGAGAGGCACAGGATGTTCTCCTGTGGTAATAGGGGCAAAGACAGGAAGAGGCCAGGTAGGAGCAAGCAAAATTCTCCTTGGTCATTCTCAAGGGAGTACGAGGGAGGAGTTGTTAGAGGTTGAGGAGAGCAGTCCAACTGAATAGCCTGAGAATGGAAGAGTTGGTATAGCATCACCTTACACCTAACCTCCTCACAGTGGTTGTGTCCCTTCCCTGTTTTCTGTACCTCAGTTTCTTCATGGAGCCTTAGGTTCTGTGAAAATGAAGGTGAGAAAACCCATCGTATTATTCGTATTATTCGTGCCTTTAATAAAAGGTCATTTTTTACCCTTAAATGTAGGTGTAAAATTTTTATTAGTTTTACAGGTAGAAAAATACTTCAAATGTTTAAAATATCATTTTAATCTACTTGTGATCTAAAACCTTTTCAGATATACATTTAATATAATAATTGTGCTCATATATTCAGAATTCAGAATCGAATAGTCCAAGTATCAATTTTTGGGGGGAGGTGGCGGGGGTTCGACCACTGAGCCACATCCCCAGCCCTGTTTTGTATTTTTTTTTTTTAGACAGAGTCTCACTGAATTGCTTAGTGCCTTGCTTTTGCTGAGGCTATCTTTGAACTCTCAATCCTCTTGCCTCAGACTCCTGAGCTGCTGGGATTACAGGCATTCGTCACCGCGCTCAGCAAGATCACATTTTAAAAAAGAGTTATGGTAGTTCCTCCTTGTCCACAGTTTTGCTTTCTATGGTTTCAGTTACCACTAGTAACCTTGATCTGAAAACGTTAAATGGAAAATTCTAGAAATAATTCACAAGTTTTAAATAATTTATTACAGCCCCCTTCCTTAAACCCTAGGCCTTCTAAATTATCATTAGTTAAATGTGGTTGGTCCTAGTATGCCTAATTTATAAGTTAAACTTTATTAGAGGTATGTGTGTATAGGGAAAAACATAGTAGAGTCATATGTTTTTTTAACCTTCTGAGATACATTCTGAGAAATTTGTAGTTAGATCATTTTTTTCTTAGGTGAACATCATAGGATGTACTTACCTAAACTAAGATGGCTATGTTGCAAGGTGATACAATCTTATGGAACCACCATTGTACATGTACATGCAGTCCATTGCTGACTGGAAATGTTATGTGGTACATGATTATTGATTCAGGGTCTGGTACTATATGTACCTTAATGAGTTTAGGTATCCACTGAGGGTCTTGAAATGTTTCTCTTATATAAGGTGAGGGGGAGTGTTACTGTATTTTTCTTCTGATTTGCTACTTTTATCTGCAGTGAGTCATTAGATGAATTTGCCTCAGCAGACTGTTCAAAGGATAGTTGAGTTATACTTTTAAAAAGTTCTAGATGACTGTTTCACAGTTGTGTTGATTTCTCTTGGTTTACTTTGATTGTACTCAGGAATGAAATAGAGTTGAACCTGCAGATTTGAAAATCTGAGATTACTTTATTGAAAAAGTTTTAAGTATCCAGGAGCCATGGCACAGGCTTATAATCCCAGCGATTCAGGAGGCTGTGGCAGAGGATCTCAAGTTCAAGGCCAGTCTTGACAACTTAGCAAGACCCTGTCTCAAAACAAAAAGGAATGAGGTTGTAGCTTAGTGATAGAGTGCCCTTGGGATCAATTCTCAATACTATAATACATCTATACATATATTAATTAATTAACTGATAAAGTTTTAAGTATTGATGGTTTCTAATATGGACAAAATGTGAAAGTATAAGGACCTCTGTGTACTTACCATCTAACTACCACCTTGATCAATATTCAAATTACTTTAGAGAATTAAATGATGTTGGAGTAGATTCAGAATTGACTTGTCTTGATTCACTAATGAATAAGAGTTGAAAATTATGATTTAATAATATTTTATTCAATCATTCATGCAACAAAACTTATTGAGGATCTGATTTGTTCTATAGTACTTAGTTGATAAAGAGCTTCAGTTGAATGCAAATCCTAGCTCTGCTACTTACTAGCCTACAGCTCATCAAAGTATTCTAATTTGTCTCCACATTAACAAAATTGACATAATGCAAGGATCTACATCATAGGCTTGTTATGAGGATTAAATAAGATACATTGGCTTGCACAATACGTGCTAATTACAAATATCCTTTCTCTCTTTTCTTCATCTTTGTCATCCAGATTTTGTGCTGGGTGTCATTTTAAGAGTTAAGATGTGGATCCTGACCTTGAAGAAGTAGAATTCTAAGATCACATAGCATTAGAGCCAGGAGAGATCTTCAGGATTATCTGTTTGACCAACTGAAGAGGTTTAGTGAATTGTCTAGTATCACATTGTTTACCATTGGTGGTAAAGCCATGACAAAGCTGTGTATCCTAGCTGTGAATGCTTTTCTTACAGGATGACCATTCTGTTGCTTTGTTTGACTCAGCCCCCTTCCTTAAACCTTAGGCCTTCTAAATTGACAGTCCTGGCCTGCATGTTTTGAGTGTTCTGACTTTCCTGTCCAAACATGGAATATATGTGTGGCTTTCCACATGCATCAGACCAGAACGTGTCGCGATTGTCCCCTCCTTAGGAGTCCAAGGAAGACTTTGTAGGAAAGATGGACAAGCTGTTTCTCTGTGTGTAATCACAAAGATGTTTTTATCTTTCTTTTGTATCACAGCCCAGGAGTTAAAGTCACTGTTTGAAAAAAAATCCCTTAAAGAGAAGCCTCCAAGTTCTGGAAAGCAGTCCATATTATCTGTACGCCTGGAGCAGTGCCCTTTGCAGCTGAATAATCCCTTTAATGAGTATTCCAAATTTGACGGCAAGGTAAGCAAAACAATGAAACTTTGTCCCTTTAAATATAGAAGTACCATTGAATGGAGTTGTTGTTATTTTTCTAGATTTAGGGTTTCAAAAATCCCTCAGTGATTATAAAATGTCACAGATTCTAAGATCATAGACATAGAAAGGTAAGAATTTGGGTTTAATGTTGATTCCACCATAATGTATTTGGGAGGATTAAAACATAATAGCCCTGTGCTGGGGTTGTGGCTCAGTGGCAGAATGCTTGTCTGGCATGTGTGAATACTGGGTTTGATTCTCATCATTGCATATAAATAAATAAAATAAAGTTCATTGACAACTAAGAAATTAAAAAACAAAACAAAAACATAATAGTCCTGAGATTCTTCTCTATATATCTATATAGATGTCTCAGGACTGTTATAATGCTTCCCTGTACACACCTTCACATATACACGTACATATTTTATTTTTGATATCAATGGTTTAACCAAAGGGTGATGTACCACTAATTTACATCCTTGGCCCTTTTATTTTATTATTTTTAAAAAATTTTGAGACAGTGTCTTGCTCAGTTTTCCACACTGACCTCGAACTTGCAATCCTCCTGCCCCAGTCTCCCCAGTCACTGGAATTACAGGTGTGCACCATGCACCTGATTTACATCTTCTTTCTTTTTGTGTAATACTGGGAATTGAACTCAGAGGCGCTCTACCACGGAGCTACATCCCCAGCTTGCTTGCTTGCTTATCTATCTATCTATCTATCTATTTTTGAGACAGGGGCTACTAAGTTTCTGAGGCTGGCTACTAAGTTTCCTGGAGTTGTATACAACTACTAAGTTGCCTGGAGTTGTGTACAATTTGTCTTTTTAAAACTTTCAATCCTCCTGGCTCAGCTTCCCAAATTTTGGGATTACAGATATGCACCACAATGGCTGGCACACACATATGTTTTAGAGGGGAGGAATACGTGTGTGTATAAATTTGTTTTAATCTCCTATGTATTCTTTTTTTTTTAATAATAATTATTTTTTTAAAGAGAGAGAGAGAGAGAATTTTTTAACATTTATTTTTTAGTTTTCGGTGGACACAACATCTTTGTATGTGGTGCTGAGGATTGAACCCGGGCCGCACACATGCCAGGCGAGCGCGCTACTGCTTGAGCCACATCCCCAGCCCCTCCTAAGTATTCTTGAGGTTTTGGTTAGTTGGATTGTGCTTAATCAAAGTCTAATTAAGTTTGGAAGCTTGAAAGTGGTTCTGGGAGGCAATTTGCATTGTTTTGTCTGATTGTTCATTATGCAGAAATTGTTGAAGTTTTGAGCTTCCTTTCAGATTTCTAGGCTATTTCAGTATTTCACAGGGTAAGGGTTTTGTTTGGCACCTGCTTTGGAGTCTGACTTTATTTTTTTCTACCTATTCATTCTATCAACTTGCTGTTAAAAAATAAAGTATGTTATTTTCCTCTTAGAAAAATGGCCACTGTAGCAGGTGGACCTAGTTCCAAGTGCAGTGCCCCGATCCTCACCCCATTCCCTGCTATTCTGTACCCCTGTGCTGAGCTGAGTGGGGCCTTTTTCAAGAGACAGTAGAAATTGATTTTTATATTTATTGCCATTATGTTTGCTGCCTGGCAGTGGTGTGGGGGTGCTTGAATGATAACTTGTTGCCTGGAGTTGTGTACAATTTGTCTTTTTTAAAGCACTATTGCAATTAATAAACACATTTTTGCTTATGTTTGCATTTTTCTTATTCACATGGAAGTTCTGTGGGTAGTCTAATTTGAGCAGAGAGATTTTCTCTTGAAACATTTTACCTCAGATGATTCAGCCTGTTTCTATAGATTGAAATAAGCTTGCATGGTGAAGTTGTTAGTTTGTAGAGGAGGAGCAAGAGCTAGAAACAAACATATAAATACCATAAAGATCTTATGTGCCTAGGAGTTTCCTCCAGAAAACATCTGAAAGCACTTTTAGTAAAATGTAGATTGTATTACTGTGAAGCTTCTTTTTTGCCTGCCTGTACTTCCTGCTCCTGTCCTGTGGAATGTGGGGAGCGAAGGAACTACTCCAGGAAGAAGAATGTCAGCCTCAGGAAATGGCTAGTTGGACTGCAGAGGATTTAGAAAACATATATTATAATTCATTCATTCAGATAGGTGAGAAGTTGTTTGTTGGGATTAGGAGACACTGCTGGAATTTATTTGCTTCCATTGCCTGATACCATCTTACTATGGAAGGATGAAATTGCTAGAATGATAATGTGTGATAATGCTTTCATACCAAGAAAGTAGCGTAGACCTTTAAAAATATATTACATACTAGAATTTCTCTTATGCCATTAGATTTTATTATTTTACCGAGGTTTGGATTCATGAGAAGGTTGTTAATTTTATTTGATATCCCATGTTCTAACTTTTGAAGTGCCAGGGAGAAATTTTTTAAAATGAAGCCATTTCCTTAGTCACAAGGAATTGTTTTTATTAGGTGTGTGTTTGCACTTAAGATTCTGCTTTTGTCATAGTTGGCCCTTTTGTAATCTACAATGGATGTAAGCATGGAGCAGTCACTGTTACACATTGATTAAAAAAGATTTATATATTGATAAGTCTATCTTATGATGTGATGGTATTTTATTATTATCCTACATATTACAATTGCTAAAATACAATTAAACCCTTGCTCTCATCTATTATTTAATATTGATGCATTTGGCAGATATGTAATGAAAGTGGCTAATGTTTGAAGGATATTATACTGTACATATTAAATTAGTCTTTCTTTATCTTTGTGAAATGCATCAATATGATATTCAATGACATCTCAATGATTAATAGAGAATTATACTTGAGTCAAGCCTTTTTGTAACCTAGAAATTAAGATGACTATTCAAATAACACCTCAAAATGATCGAATTAGCATTTTCTGATTGCATAATAATGGGATTGTAGTAGTTATAACAGCACCATGGCTGCCTCTAGAGTTAAGATCATGTCAACCCCTTGATAATAAAGCCTTTTCCATGTGAATCGACTTTAATAATATCCAGATTGATTCTGCTCATAAATCATCTGACGTTTAGCACTAAATTTTTGTTACTGTTGTAACTTAAAATTATTTTATTTTTATTCAGCTCATATTTAAGAAATAAGTGTCTTGTTTTAATGATTCACCATCTTGTCATTGGCACTATATGCCTTTTCCCTCAAATGTAAGGGTTTTCCATGCATTTTGATGCATATATATACATATACACATACAAATGCATCAAATTTTTTTTTCCTACAAAGATTTGTTAAAGCCACTGAAATACGTAGAGTTTTTTTTTTTTCCCCTACAAATATTCACAATGCTTTTCTTGGGAATAATGCTGGCCTTATTTACATAATTAACTGAGTTTCCTAGGTCTCTTGGGTAAATAGTACATAATTGGGGAGAGATGGGAACAGGGAAGAGTTTGGGGTCTAATTAAATATGCTAAAAAACTACTTAATTATGTATTTCCTCAAGAGACTAGCTGCTGTGAAATCCTCCTTAAAACTAAGCTATCGTTAGATTTGAAAAAAGGATTTTGCTTTTGGTATGGCTTTACAATTGCAGTTAAAGCAGCCATATCTAGTGTCCTTAACAGTTTGTGCAAACTGGATTGTTGGTTTTAATGAGTCTAAGGGTAAGCAGCTTTCTCAACTTTTGTGCTAAATCAAAGCAAATATATTCGAGTAATTTTTGGTTTCTATAGGTGGTTAATAATTTATAATTTTCTGTGTGATAGTTAATAATTTTTAAGACATGAAATTGAAAGGGAAAAGCTATACTGAGGCTTTTTTTTTTTTTTTTTTAGGTGCTGGGGATTGAACCCAGGGCCTTGTGCATGCAAGGCACCGAGGCCTATTCTTTATTGCAGTTTTGCAGGGTTTTTTTTGTTTTTGTTTTTAATTTTTTTATAACTTTTTATTTATTTATTTTTATGTGGTGCTGAGGATCGAACCCAGGGCCTTAAATGTGCGAGGCGAACGCTCTATCACAGAGCTATCACCCAAGCACCATGCAGGGTTTCTCTGGTTAGGCTTATTATTGTGTTTCTGTTATTTCTTTGGCAAAATGATGGTGTTGTCTGTGACTTATTCTAGATCCTTGGATTAAGTCTGTTTACTGAACATTTGAAAGAAGTCCAAGGCCTAATGCAAGGGATGCTTGGGTCAGATGAGGCAAAATGAGGCCTTTAGTCATCTGCCTGTATTCTTTGGTGCAGTTGAAAACGAGACCTCTGAATAGCAAAACAAAACCTCAAAAAATTTCCCCCACCAGTCTTTCTGATTTCACTGTATGTGGGAAATTATGGTCATGTTTGGGAATTGCTCTGAGGATACGAGGGCATGGCTGAGTTGACAGGCAGGAAACATGCAGCACTAGCCCTAAGTGCCCCAGGATATGTGGATTGTCTCACTGTTTCTCCAACCTTTGAAGAGGTGACTCTAAGTCTTGCCCTTTCATGCTTTAGCTCTTGCTTGAGAAGCTTTTATTTTTGTGGTGCTGGGGATTGAACTCGGGGCCTTGTGCATGCGAGGTAGGTACTCTACCAACTGAGCTATATCCTCATAACCCTGCTTGAGAAACTTTTGCTAGCACAGCATTACTCTTCTGGTCAAACAGAGTTGCAAATACTAATATCAGCATTAGATCATGAGAAATTCAAGTACTTCAATAAATAAATACACTTATTTAGAGATGGTACTGTTTATAAGTTGTATCATCTCAATTTTTTTTCTTCTTCTTGATCTGTTTCTTTACCTCTGTGAAGGATGACCTCACTAGGGAGATGAGACCATCAAATAGGATAATGCTAGGATAAAGCAACTCCACAGTGAGACGCAGAATAATTTAATAATGTAGTTAATAATGTAGTTAATAATGTGACTTATTCTATACGGAAGACCTTGATTTGCATCCTGAAGATGCCATTTTCAGTGAGCCTGCAGGCTAGTTACTTAATCTCATGAAGCTTAGCCTAGGGTTTAAGACA